GTGTTATAGTCGACTTTGGCAGTTCCGAACCATGATGATATGAACCGCTATGAGCCGATTGTGACCATGCCGCGGTTACTGAACCGTGGCACGATAGTATGGCTATATCAGATAATAAAAGCGTAAATCAAAGAACAATATTAACAATGCTGCAGATTTGAATTTTTATTTTATGTTAATTGATGAAAATTACATTCCAAAAAAATTAGTATGGATAATAAATGTATTAATCAAATAAAATTATTAATAATGCGGTTGAATTTCATTTTTATTTTATGTTTCAGAAGCTCTCACTATTAGTTCTTCATATCCTTTTACATTTTACGTTTTAATTAAATTTTTTATGATAGCTTACAATGAATATATAAAAGAATTCAAGTTGATTTTTATTCCATAATGTGTAATACTGAGTGTTTCTTTTGGTGCAAAATTAAGAGTACTAATGTTGCTGATGATTTTGGAGTTCAATAGAGGAGTGGTGCAGTATGTTAGATGCACAGGAACCCAAACGAGTGTTTTTGTTATTTGCAAAGTTACGTGTGTTTATGTAATTAGGATATACGGAGGGTGGGTTTTGTTATTAGTTTTAGAAAGAATGAGAAAGAAAGGAGAAAGCCACAAATAGAATTTTGTGCAGTTTGGGAAAAGAAAAATTATTATTTCAAAAGTTTGTAAGGTCAGCAGCTCATTGAATGTATATTGCTGTTACTATTTCAATCTAATCATTACTTCAATTCCATCTGTAGAACATACCTTAAACTTCCATGGACACCACTCGTCTCGGTAGATGGAAAAACAATTTACGATCTCGATGAAGAATTCAGGGTAAGTATAAATTGACTTGATTGGAATATAATTAAATTACAATTATATTGACTTGTAATGTGAAACATATAACACTTCATATGTTGTAAGCTTATTCTTCTTGCTACAGATCATAAGGCACGTTGAGAGATGGAATATTTCTGCACTTGAAGCAATTATTCAGATATTTACTCCTAATTTTGGAAGGCGCCTGGACCAATAAAGAAAACTTACCATTTTATTAGCTTCAAGGTACAAAAGTTTCAATACATCACACTTTTGCTCACACTTTTGCAGGTTTTTAGTTGCAGATATTCACAATCTAGGCAACTTTATTTTCTTTGATACTAAAAATTATACAACACAAGATCTGTTTTTCTATCGATATATGGTTTTGGTGCTTCATTTGTTATTTCAATTTATCTTCTTCCTCAGGAAATGAAGCCACAGATGCTTTGCAATATCCACTGACCATTTCTTAATCAATGCATAGTAAACTCTATCTTCTATATCCCTTATGGTTGAAAAAGACATTGTTGGCTAATGTCACTATATCCAAAATTATGCAATCAATAAAAATGCCATAAGTTTCACTACTTATCAAGTGAAATATAGAAATGATGTAAAAAACAAATACTGCTACACAACAACAACAACAACAACAAAAAATTTAATTAACAAAATTAAACTACCATATATCGTCTCCTATTATGGCATGATTATTGTTAGTTTTGTATGTATAACTTTTATGAGAGAAGTATACCAACTAGTCTACGTTTGACAAGCTATGGCTAGTATCATGGTTGACCAGTAATATATGCATCTTTTTTCCCAAGCTTTTCTCCATTGATGTTCTTCAAGCTTTGGTAGCTATAGCTTCGTTTATATAATTAATTTTCGGTATTATCTCATATTACTTATATTACATCTTTGTTTCAATCACCATGAAATAAAATCGTAATTCTTTCAGTAAAACTTTTGAAGTCAAGTATGAAAAAATCCAGTAAACAATCAAATTATAAAATGCTGAAAATAAAAAATTGAACTCTACATGGTCGCAGTACGGTTGAACGGATGCCTTACATACATGAGCTGTGCAAAACTAGTTCGTCTCTTTTGTTTCCTTATTTCTAACTTGTTATTTGATCTAATTTCTGCTTTTAAAGACATCTGACTTGTGATTATCTATGCAGCTTATGCCGTGTAGGGAATTATATTGGTCGAATCAAACGTCTTTTTGGCACTTCCAGTTTTCGTCTTCCTTGTCATTTCCAGCTTAAGCCGGGAAGCCTTGATTCTAAGTGTTTAGTCAAGGTTTTCTTGGATTATGTTGTCGAGAAGAGGAATGGTGCAGTACCTCCTCCCTGCAGGTGACTACTTAAATAGAACAGGAGTGCACATTATTAGTAGCTATATATGGGTTTCCAGGTCCCAAGGATCTGCATATTTGTAAAAGTAGTGTAAAATATTAACATTATTGGTTGAGCTGTAATGGTGTTGAACCAAAGATATTGCTCGCCCACCAATTCAAGAAGTGAGGATTATAGAGTATGTTTAACTAGTAAGTGACAGATGCTAAATTATATTCTCTGGTTTATTTTTAGTAAGTTTAAAGTATTAGTGAAGTAAAATGCCATTGCGGGAATGACATAAAAAAGGATGAATAAAATGTTTTTCTATTGTAATTTAAAGTATAACATTGATGAGAAAAAAACTTGATATTAATTTTAAGAAAAATTGGTTATGTACCAATTTTGCGGTTCCATCTTTCGTAGGTGGAAGACTTAGGAAATTCTTAAAACATTTTTAAGGAAAATGATAAATTATTTCTAAATTGTATAAGTGAGAAATATAAGGTTGAAGAAATTGAGTTTAAGTATCTGGAATTATTGAATTCGCAAATCATTTTGTCTTTGACGAATGTTAGGATAATCCAAACGATGCCTAATTATGCAGCTTGCAAGCTTTAACTCTAGAAGGTTTCGTTGTAGATGAGTAGGAAAAAACGGAACTCAATTTCGAGTCTGGATGAGCTGGTACGAGCTCGCGGCGCATGGAAGCACAACTGGCTGCGGGCAGCGAAAGGTCGCGACCCTTGGTGGCAGTAATGTGTCTTTTGACCTCTAGATGCGTCCGCACTTGTTCGGGTACGTCCTAAAATGTGTCTTTTGACACTT